ATCATGTGAAATGGGGGGGTGCTTTGTGATGTTCTTATTAAGAAGACATGTTAATGGTTGTTGGTGCTGACACAAAACGTTTCATGCACGGTGCTCAAGTAATGCAAACGTGATAAAGCTGGCAAAATTGCAAATATGGAGATGCACTAGGTAGCACAATGACATTAAGGACAGGTGCTCTGGGGTTTATTAAGAGTGACTTCTTTTAAGGGAACAGGGAGTCTTGCAATGCATGTCTTATTTGAAAATTAATGTTTTTGTAATTTATTGTACATCTTTGTATTAATGTATTTTTTTGTGTGGACCCAGGACATACTTGAAAATGAGAGCAATCTCAATGTATCCTTCCTGGTAAAATATTTTATAAAATTAAATCCCTCTTAGCCTTTATATGGCAGAAGCATGTTCTGATACAAGATGGCCATGCTCAAGCAATCTTAAAATAGTACATTATGTAATAAATCACAAAGCAAAATTGCCTTTTATATTGTGCTCTTCCAGAATCTTCGAAATATATTTTTATACTCCATTTAAAATGTCCTACATGCTGACATGCGTTTTTGTTTTTTTTCCATTCACACTCCATGTGGATGTGGGGAACATTACACTTATTTTCGTGTAGAAATATGGAAATTAATTTTATATATACACACACACTCACACTGGATTGGACCTGAGGTTGCTTGACTCTTGTCATATGTTCTCATACCAGTTCCTGGTTCCACACACCTGAGAATTAAACAAAACACATATCCTATTATTATTTAACATATCTTTTGATATATTAATATTGATCGCGTTTGAATTTGTTTAAATTTCACAAGGCAATGAAAATATATAAGATGTAGGAACTATCTTGTGGATATAAGGCTAAGCTTCCACAAAACACCTTTTGTCAATTTCCACAGCAGTCGCTAATGACAGCTGTGGGAAAGAGGCATCATCTTGCGCATTGGTGTCTGGTGGATCCCACTATATAGTGGGAATGTCCATAGAGCTCAGTGATGTACTCTTGTGCAAGAGCCAGGGGTTGAAGAAAGAATATGGCTTCAAATAAATAGTACAATCAATTTGACCCTCGGACACAGCACTCAGACATGTCACCTTCGGCCAAGGGTCGGGGAGGTGTAAAAAGGCATAGTGCTAAAATATATTTAAAAAAAAAGTGCATACAAAATACATCTAATTATTTGGGCCAAAATCTATGATTTGTGTGTTGGTCCTTGGAGTTTTCCTCTAAGATAGTTGGCACTGGTGCCATGCAGTGCCTTTTTTCATTAATGCTGGTAATTGTGGGTTCAAATGAACGCTCTAACTCTATTACAACAGGGGATACTCAATGAAACACTCCTGTGTTCTAAATAACTACATTTATTTGTAATGCTGGCGTGTTTTAAACACTATTTCAATTCAGGGAATCTTTTCCATGGAAATAGAGAGGTTACTTTCCATCTAACCCAGCGGCAAATAGATTGAGTTGCTGTTCCAAAAATTAATTTCCACAATTACTGAACTCTGAAAGGTCATTTTAGTAAGGTAGGACTTTAACTTTTGCTATATTTTTTTTTTTATCTTTACAATTTCTTCTCACTCTGGAATTTATTTTTATAGTCTGGCAGAGGATGTTCAGGATTTTCATTTTTCTTCAGATCTTTTAATCTCCAATTGTGTTGTTTCTTTGTGCTTTTTGGTAAGTACCCAATAGTTCAGTGATGGCTAACTGTGACACCATAAATGGTTTCTGGACTAAATTTCCTTTGATGCTCAAATAGCTTTTTGATGCTAAAAGCTAGCTGAGCATCATGGGAAATGTAGCCCAGAAACCATTTATGGTGTCAAGGTTAGCCATCACTGCAATAGTTGCTGAGTGTAAGGCATGATTGGGTCTCCAAAGCTTCTGGGAATCTAAGAGGTTGCATCATTCTAAGCACTGTGCTTGTATCAAAAAGTGATATTTCTAAAATTATGTAGGGGATAGCATTGCATGTTCTACTTTCTCCTGGGAAAAGAAACAGATCTACCATGTGACTAGTTGTGGGGGCTTTCACCATGATTAAACGAACAGTGCTTAAAAACAAAAATTGAAGTGCAAGAGGTCTGATTTTGTATTCTGCTTAAGGCACTGAAGTCTAAAATGGAAAAGGTGCTGTGTTCTTTCAGGTTGCTCAAGCAGACTGGTGTCATGTGCTTTTTTTTTTTTATATAGAAACATAGAATGTGATGGCAGATAAGAACCATTCGGCCCATCTAGTCTGCCCAATTTTCTAAATACCTTCATTAGTCCCTGGCCTTATCTTATAGTTAGGATAGGCTTATGCATATCCCACGCATGCTTAAACTCCTTTACTCTTTTGTTGACCAACTCTTTGTCCATGTGACAAGGCTCTCTCTGCTAGTTTATTGGTCCATGCAATACAACTAAAGATTACTCATGACAGACACAGTGCACAATGTAGGGGAGTATAGATGCTCATTGCCGTTAGGAGAATGCTTGCTTTAATTGGTTGTGTAAGTAAAACCATTGCCCAATTTTTAAGTGCAATATAGATCCATATAACTTCATTTTTTTTTCCTGGGCTTTACTTAATGCAATCTCGGGTATATTTTTGGTTCATTGTATATTTAGCTTAGCAATGTTTCCTTTTATGAAAATATATTAAAGAAAGATGCGTAGAGTGGATTCTACACAGCAAACCAATTCATGTTTTCTTGAATAGTTAATTGCAGCTGCAGCACAGGCAATGAGACTGCATAAGCATTGCTTTCCTGTGATGTCATTGAGTTGGGAGTGAGTTAGCTTATAGGTGCAGTGATTCCTATGGTACCTTAAAGCAGAATCCATGCAAACAGGAGCAGCAGAGCTTTTGCACCACAAGCTACTGAAAGTGTCTTGGTGGCTACCGTGTGCTATTTAAATTCTTAAGATCAAATTATAGTAAATAATTAGTTTATGAAAATCTGATATACTTTGTCTGGTTTACTTCTGACTACTTGGCCAATAAATCCTTAGAATAATTGTAGCAAGCATAATAAAAACCTATATAGCTAAATCTCCCCCCTCCCCCTCCTCCCTTTTAAAATAGGTTTTCTGAGGTGCGTCATTGTGCAGATTTCATTGTGATATGTGTAACTGTGGTAATATTAGCAGACCTCCAGTTAAAATATGCCTGCTCCTATAGTGCTTCCATTCCCCTTACCAGTGTCAGATGAGAAAGGTGGGAGGAGAGATTGTTTCTGACCTGGCGATCTATGCTTAGCAAGCTGTAGCTGCCCTTAGGATATATGAGGTGAGGTACAATAGATATATAAGCCTATGTTCCATCACACAACCCTTTATACAGTGTGTGAATAGGTTTAATCTTCTGACTAGCTATAGCCTTGTGGCCTAAGGAGAATGTTACGATGGGTATAGGAGGAAATAATGGTAGGTGCATTTTGCTTGGTGCATGAATCTTTTGTCCTTGAGTTTTCCCAACCATTGCTTTTCCAATTCACTCATTGAGTCTTGCTGAACACTGCTATTTGAGACCAATGCAATATGAATTCTGTTTAATTTCCATGTATTATTTACATAACCTTCATTATGTGTGAAGGACATACCTTTACTGAAATTCAAGTTGTCACCAGATAATTTGTTGACTTATGCAGCCTTTATGTAAGGTCTGTCCCTCGACCAGGCATTTGCCTTTATAAGTGGATTAAGTTATTGTACGTAAGGTGTTTTGGTTTTTATTTTATTTGCTGTTTGGTCATTATTAAGCAGTGAGCTAGCTTGTGGAATTAGGCAATTGTTTATACAAATTATATTCTCTTATGTGGAAGGATTTGGATTTCCTGCAAATATATGATTTTACAGTGTGTTTGTATACATTTTATTTTCTTTAGAATCCGTACCACAAGACACTGACTGCTACCCCTTGGTTTAGCACTGCAGCTGTTGTGGCCTGCATTTCTCTTGATTATTCTGCTAGCCATCACTGTTCTTATTTTAGCTTTTGCATGATGTTATTTGAAAATTGTTACAGCAAATGCAGAAATAGGAGAAATTAAACAATGTTTCTATTTCTCATGTTTGCAGTGTGCCCTTGTCGGAATTGAATGTGATATTGGTTGTTAAATCTCCAAAGATTCTAATGTATTTTTTTTTTTTTTTTTTTAAGAGATCTAATTAGATTAACAAGAGTTATAAGTGATTTTTTAAATGTTAGAAATTCCACCAGAGTTCCCATTTAAAGCGTTTTAATCTTTAGCTTGGGTGATGTATAGTACAGTTAATGTAAGGTTAAATTTTGGCACTGGTCTACTCCTCTACTATGTGTAGTGGTAATTATTGTTGGCTATGGCCATTCCCACATAAGGTGAATAGTGCTTGGTTTGTGCAGGGTGGAATGTTTACCATCTGGGATTTGTTTCTTCTGGGGGGGTGGGAAATGTCCCTTTTGATATTAACTTCAAGATCTCTTTCCATGCTTTGTAATTAATCCGATCTAACCAGTATGTTCCAAAAGTAAAATATTTTGTAAGTTTAGTTGATAAGGTTGATATTGTTTAAGGCTTGTATGCAGCACTTTGATAGAGCCGGTTATAAAAGAGACATTCAGGTCATTTTCTGTATACAGCTAAAACAGAGGTAGAACCTTCACAGCAGTAATTGAGACTGTACATGTACATATTGTCGCTGTTTAAAGGGAACCTTGGGGCACCATAACGAGTTCCACAAGACCGTTAACCAGCACATGATTTTTGGGCACCATCAGAAGTGATTTAATCAAGAAAAACCTTAATAAAGCTATATGTCTGAGTCAATAGAATCTGATCTACCACTTCTATTAACTTCTGCATAGTGATGCACTGATTCGGTGGCCAATATTTTAGTCTGAAAATGGACCTATCCCATTTAGTCCGAAAATGGGTCTAATTTGCCAACTTTGTATTTTTTTGTTTTTGATAGTGCATAGTTTAATGCTTGCACGTGCGTGTGTGTGTGTGTGTGTGTGTGTGTGTGTGTGTGTGTGTGTGTATATATATATATATATATATATATATATATATATTACACACACACACACCAAACAGATCAACCTCTTGCACTCCTACTAAAAAACGTATTAAATACCTGGTGCCAAGTCACAGCAATATAGAAATATCAAAAAATACCGGCACTCTAGGCTTTGTTCATCTGATTTATTCTTAGTTAATCCAGAGATTCCACATAAGAGAATATAATTTGTATATATCTCTCTCTCAAACCAACCTTGATTCACTTACTCGATTCCAGCGCTGGGAAGACCTAATGTGCATGCGTGGCCCTAAATGCATTAATGCTTTCCTATAGGGTTTTCACTGATGTTGCATTTCCCTATGCAGAGTGTGAGGATGTCCAGCAGCAGGGCACCTAGTGTCTGGTAAACTCATGGAAGCCCATTTAGTTGCTGTGTTAGTCTTGCAATGTTTCACATTGCAGGACTAAGGGGGACAGGGACCATGTATACAGACCTCTTTAATGAGATGTACTGTTCTGGGTGCCTATAGTGTCTCTTTAAGATTAGTGTTCACCCATGAAGCGTTTTGGTCACCAGCAATAACCAGTATGATATTAAAGAACTGGCTTTATTGCAGGTTTAAAACTACTGATGGAGTGTGGCCAACTGCGCATGTTGACAGCTTCTCTTCCCTCTTATCTTATGATTCAGAGATATATGTTCATTATATTGTAATCCTGGGGGGGGGGGGTGTGACAATCCGGCATGCTCCTGGAATTTGCTTTCATGTAATTGCCTGTAGGTAGACTGAGTAGGCTTGCAGGTGCTAAGCACGAACAATGAGGACTGCATATTTTCTTTCCTCCTCCTTTGCTGCAGTAACCTTGAATGCCCCTTGTGAATAACATTGTTTTTTTTTATTAATTTAGAGTTCTCTGTAGAATTTGCTCTTTCATTTATCTGGGGATGCTGACTACACTGCCTGAGGATGGAATGTACACATAACATGGTGGTTTTAGAGGTTTTTTTTTTTTTTTTTGTCAAGTGATATAGGGATATGTAACATTTGTTTAATTGGTAGGCCAGTAGCTTTAGGGCTTATGGAAAGCCTACTACATTCACTTATTGCTCAATGGCAGACAACAGATTGACACGTTCTTAAAGTGGACCTTACTTATTATGCCCATTGTATTTTTTTTGTTCTGAAAATATTTTTTTTTTTTGTCCGCAAATAACGAAATAATGTATACAGGTTGGTAGCAAAGAAGTCACGTAGAGTACAGACTAACAGCAGAGAGGTCACAGATTGAACAACCAGAGTAAGACAAGGTTTTGCGTTCCAAACACTGTTGGAATAAGAGGGTCTCATTAAGGTCATCAGGATGCCAAATCTTCTTATAAGCTTGTAGGTAATTACTTTCTGCTTACGCTGACGATTTCATTTGTTTAGAGTGAAACTTGGGCATAGTATTGATTTGTAGTGGGCACTTTGCTTAAAGGAACACTATAGTCACCAAAATTACTTTAGTTCATTAACAAAGGGATTTAACTCCTAAATGGCAGAGGGTTGAGCAGTGAGGCTGCAGGGGCATGTTCTATACACCATTAAAGTTGTTCAGGTGACTATAGTGTCCCTTTAATTTTCATTCACAAACTAAAAGAATCTCAATCGCTAAACAATATAGCTACATAACTTCGTCAAACAAGAGTTGGGAACAGTGATATCTCCACTGTCTGAGATAGCATGTGATGCGATAGACAATTATGCCACAAAAAGGGAAAATCTTTTCTTCTCGATTCCATACTGGAAATTAAATTTCTCCTTGGCATTCAGACTTCCTCTTGTAGCTTGCATTTATAGTTACTATCTCTTCTTCCATGCACAGCATCTCAGTGCCTGGGTGATGTTTCCAGTTATGAAAGATGTCTGAATTTCCAACCCAGTCAAAACATGATAAAGTAGACTAGTATTTTCTCCTACGCTTGACATAAAGGCTGAGCTACTTATTTCCAAGCGCACAGCCTTCCCTAGCTATTGGTTTACAATGCAAGCTAGGTGCATGGCTAATGACCTTGCCTCGCAAAGAAAGGCTGTTTAAGATAGGATTTTGTGACCTTCCTTAAATTGCCGCCTCTTTTTATTGTACCTAATTGTTTTTAAAATTTGTTTTGTTTAAGTATTTTATTATATAGCGCCAGCAAGTTTCGTAGCGCTGTAAATGGGTATATTCCATCTGTATTTTTTTTCACCTCTGGAATTCAGGTTGGATTGTGCAGGATGTGTGGGACTCTTAAGTGGAAAGGGTAATATTTACTTTTTTGAATGTGTCACCTGCTAAATTATTTGCCATTTCTGGAAGATGATGATCAAAAATAGAACCGGAAAATATAGATGGTCATGAAGGAGCGTAGCAATCATTCTGAAATATCAAAGCGGAATAACGCTCTTTTTATTTATTTATTTTTTTATAATTTCCAGGAATACTTTTTGTTCTCAAACCTTTTAAAGAATGCATTCTTCATTCAGGAAGGAGGATTAGAAACCTTTAAACAATATTCCAAGTGTGGATGTCTAGATTGGACAGTTGGAGTACATAAAGAAGTTATTCTAATGACTGGCCCCACCCTCTTGGTGACATCCGCAAAATTGCAGATTTTTAGCCAATCCAATGCTTTCCCATGGTGAAAGCATTGGATTGGCTAAAATCGGCACGGGGGTCGGGCCAAATGCTGTTTTGGCCAGTCATCACCTCCTCATAGAGATGCATTGAATCAATGCGCATCTATGAGGGAAAATTCAGCGTCTCCATGCAGAGCATGGGGACGCTGAACGGCTGTGCAGCCCTGAGCCAGGAAGCCCCTCCAGTTGCCATCTGAGTGGCCACTTGGAGGTGTCCCTAGGGGCAATGTAAACACGGCCTTTTCTCTGAAAAGGCCGTGTTTACGTGAAAATGCCTGAAGGGAGCTATTATACTCACCAGAACAACTACATTAAGCTGTAGTTGTTCTGGTGACTATAGTGTCCCTTTAATTAGAAGTCTGTTCAGCCTTGATTCACATTGGAAATAGATTTTCTTTTTTTTTTTCTTTTTTTTTCTCATAATGGTTAGGACGATAAAATGTAATCTATAGTATAATTTTTTTTTGGGGGGGGAAATATGTACTGCACCTGTAAGCCTGACCCCTAAATATTTGGCATAAAAGGAGTAATTTTACATTGTTCAAGAATACACTGGGGTCTGCTTACGAGATTGCTGCATATAGGCGTTATAACTGGTTAACCCTATGATTTATGGAAGCGGACTTCACTAACTCTTAACCCCCTTAAGGACACATGACATGTGTGACATGTCATGATTCCCTTTTATTCCAGAAGTTTGGTCCTTAAGGGGTTAAAGTGACACTCGAGGCACCAATAAAACTTGAAAGTATTTGGTTTTGGCCTCCTTAATATGATGTATTTTTCCCAACCTATCCCCTAAGTGTTTTGCAGAATGCTGCACCATAAACCTGTCTCTTTAGCCATGCCTTCTCTCCAGAAATAGATTTCCTTATCAAATGTGTGTACACAGCTAGGCCACTGCAAGCTTTGTGTGATCTGAACTACAAATCAGCCTGCAATTGATGGAGAGGACCCTGCCGAAGACAAATATTAAGGATATAACTAGTCTATTTTTTTGTGACTGTCTGCAGCCAGGTTGTGAATTAAAAACCGTTCACTCAGTGCAGTTAGGGGTGGGACTGTGTGTAAATTTTACAAGAAAAGCTTTCTTGCATGAATGGTTGTGGCTAAGAAAAAAGGCTTATGGTGCAACATTCTGCAAAACACTTGGTTGATGTAGGGGGAGGTTATTATTTATAAAGCACCCAAAATACATGGAGATGTTGAATGTTGGTTGTTAGGAGCCAGTAATATTCAAGAAGAGAAAAAAAATTTTTTTTAGTTTGGCTAAGATCATAAAGATTGATCATCTCAGCCATTGAGATAGTACTAGTTGTGGCGAAAGTGGCACAGCGTGGGGAATAAAAGGTGAGTAAAAACAGCTTCCCTATTCGACCGGAGGGGGCAGGTACCTGCTTCGCATGCGCTCACTCTCACTCTGACTGGCTCGCGCGTGCATAATGCTGGCAAAGTAGCAGGGGAGAAGTAGTCCACAACATCTAGAGTGCAGAAGGTTGCTATTTTTTCTGCTGGTATTGTACTCCTTATAGCCTGCTGGCCTTAGTCTCTGAACGAATAACCGCATAGCACGTTTATCCTTTCCTCCTTATGTGCAAGTGTATTCTGTTCTGCGGCATCATAGAATATTAACACTTCAGTAGCTATGGGCAAGGTTAGTGTTTAGAATACATACAACGTAGCACTCTGTTAACCAGAGCATCTTTCTCTTTCAGAATTGGCATTTGAAAATTCTTGATTTAAAGCAATGACCTCGGATTGAAACGTTTTGAAACCCTTTATTCCATCTCGTCACTCTTCTTCTGAATCCTTTACATCCCAGTCTGAGAGACTCTCCAGGAAAGTCCAGGTTTTTGAAAGAGGTAAGTTATCTATTGCCCTTTGTTGTCTAAAATATGTTATTAAAATTGCATTTTTATTTTTTTATTTGTTTACACACTAATTTTTAACCATGTTTAATTAAAGGAACACTATAGTAACCTAAACAACACGAGCTTCATGAAGCAGTTTTAGTGTATAGATCATGCTTCTCCGGTTTCATTGCTCAATTTACTGCCATTTAGGTTTTGTTTCTGTTTATGCAGCCCTTGTCACACCTCCCCTGACTCTGATTGACACAGCCTGCATGAAAAAAACTGGTTTCACTTTCAGTAAGATGTAATTTACCTTAAAGTTGCACTGTCATGCTGAATCCTGTTGTGTTTTTTTTTTTTTAACCCCCCTGCGGCCTCCACTACATCTAACACCCTAGTCACCCCCAAATGCCCCTAAGCCCCCCACATGACCTATTTTTTATTCCTTATTTTCTGCCCCGATCTATATTCAGGGCGCCGCCATCTTTGTGTGGGTAGATGAAGTCCCTGTGGGACACGTCATCAGCCCACACTAGATGGCCTGTGAGATTCCCGCACATGCCCAGTGAAACACCTGGACATGCGAACGGGAATTTCATCCATTCATTCAACAGACAGACGAATGAGTGAATAGAAATATCAGCCGAACAAACAAACACTGTGTATCAGTGTTTGTTTGTCCGTGCAGTTTATTACAAGGAGGGAGCTACCGGCGCACAGCTCCCTCCTTATAATATGTAACTATAGAAGCGGCAGGGAGCAGTGCTCCCCACCACTTCATAAGCCCCCCCCAGGTCCCCCCTCACTCTATGGGGGTCAATATGACCCCCATAATAGCACAAGGGAGATTAAAATCTCCCCAATGCCCCTACTCGCTATACCACGAGTAGGGGCATGTCCACTAAACAGTGAGCAGCATGTGGCTGCTCACCGTAAAAAAAAAAAAAAAAAATTGGCCCCCACCAATATTTTTTTTTTTTTTTTGCCCTAAAGTAAAACAAGGGGGGACCTACTGCCCCCGGCCCCCACCCCTGGGCGGCGGGTGGGGGCCATGAAGATAATGAGGGAGGGGGGACCTACTGTCCACCCCCCCCCTCCGGCCCCCACCCCTGGGCGGCGGGTGGGGGCCATGAAGATTAAGAGGAGGGGTCACCTACTGTCCCCCCCACCTCCGGCCCCCACCCCTGGGCGGTGGGTGGGGGCCATGAAGATAATGAGGGGGGGTGGGACGACCTACTGCCCCCCACCACTGGGTGGCGGGTGGGTGCCAAATGATGAGGGGGGGACACCTACTGGGCGGCGGGAGGGGGCCATAAGTCATATAAAGCCTTGCCCCGTCCTGCAATTAGGCTAAGAACACTCTGATTGGTGGGTTTAAGCCAATCAGTGCTCTGTCATTTTACACAGCGTGGGAAAATTCAAAAGAACGTTCCCACGCTGTGTAAAATTACACAGAGCACTGTGATTGGATGGCTTGAAATTTGGGGGGGGGGTGGGTCACCTTGGTGGGGAGGGGGGAAATTGACTTAGGGCCCCCACCCGCCGCCCAGGGGTGGGGGCCGGGGGGTAGCCCAGGGGTGGGGGCGGGGAGGGAGGACAGTAGGTCCCCCCCATTATCTTTATGGCCCCCACCCGCCGCCCAGGGGTGGGGGCCGGGGGGGGCAGTAGGTCCCCCCCCATTATCATTTGGCCCCCACCCGCTGACCAGGGGTGGGGGACGGGGGGGTGGACAGTAGGTCCCCCCCTCTCTGATTATCTTTATGGCCGCCGCCCAGGGGCCCCCCATTATCATTGACACCCACCCAGCGCAGAGGGGTGGACATTAGGTCTCCCCCCTTATTTTACTTTAGGGCCCCCACCTGTCATTTAGGGGTGGGGGCCAATAGTTTTTTTTTTTGTTTTTTTGTTTTACAGTGAGCAGCCCCAGGCTGCTCACTGTTTACCAGACATGCCCCTACTCACGTTATAGCGAGCAGGGGCATATTATTTACTAATACTAAGTAATTTTTACTTAGTATTAGTAAATGTGGCTGAAAGACCAATTTAGGTCTTTCAGCCTTTTAGTAGATAACTCCCTAATTCCCACGGTATCAGGGAGTTATCTACTAAGCAGCTGCAAGATGCAGCCACAGCATGGATAGGATCGGAGTTTCATTCATTCGAATGAAATTACGATCCTAATAAAATGCTGAATTGCGTTCTAAAAGAAACGAACATACTGTTCTCATTCAGTTAGAATGCAATTCGGCAGTTTAGTGTAAAGTGACAGGAAGCATCGCGGGAATGCAGAGGAAAGGTAAGGATCATGGGAAAATTGCTCTGACCAGCGGAGGAATCCTCCATAAGGCAAAGAGTCCATCACTTGCTTTCAAGCTTGAACAATTAAGATGCGCCTTTTTTTTTTTTTTTGAGCTGAAAATTGTCAGAATACAATTTCCTACTCTTTACTCATCTGAGAATTCTCTGAGCATCTGAATAAAGTGGCAGGATATATCCAATTTACATTTAGATAAGATACCACAAATTGTTTAGCAGAGTTCAATTTCCATACACTGCCATCACTTTTTGGGAACTGCTTCCGAGTTACTTAACAGCTGTAAAACAACCTCTGTTAAAGATCTTGTGAACTACATTTCTCTCACGATGCTCTCACAACCTGTCCTAGGCTATCTGTACCGTTATATTAACAAGTCTAGTTGATGTTTATTTTTGCTATAAATGTGTGTATTTGTTCTATTTCCGTTCAGTGATTTATCTTTGCAACTCTCGCAGTTACATAACAGCTATGTTTATAACTTTGCTTTCATTCCAAGGTCAGTCAAGTACAGAAGCTATTCTTGAAAACTTTTATTTAACCCCTTAAGTACACATGACATGTCATGATTCCCTTTTATTTCAGAGGTTTGGTCCTTAAGGGGTTAAATGGACAGTATAGTCCCTAAAATGGCTTTAGCTCAATGAATCCGTTTTGCTGTATAGCTCATGCCCATGCAGTCTGACTGCTCAATTCTCTGAAATTTAGGATTTAAATTAGATTTGTTTCTCTCTATGCAGCACCTTCCCTGGCTGTGCCTCCCGATAGCCTGCATGGAAAAGAAATGGTGTCAATTTTAATCAGATTCGAACTTGCTTTAGAAATTTTATCTCCTGCTCTGTAAATTTTAATCACACACAGGAGGCTCTTGCAATGTCTAGCAAGTATTGGCAGTGCAGGAGATTAGAAATTCTTAATTGAACAGAATGTACAACAAAAGTGTAAACATTAGATTTCACTTTACAGGAAGTGTTTGCGAAGGCTGTAGAAGTCACATACAGGGAGGTGTGACTAGGGCTGTATAAAGTGATTTAACGCTTAAATGGCAGAGAATTGAGCAGTGAGATCTATGCACCAAACCTGTTTAATTAAAGGGACACTGTAGGCACCCAGACCACTGTAGCCAATTGAAGTGGTCTGGGTGCAAACTTCCTTAACCCTCAGCATGTAATAATTGCAGTTTTTATAAACTACAATAATTACTTGCTAGGGTTAACTCTTCCTCTAGTGGCTGTCTACCAGACAGTCACTAGAGGGACTTCCGGGTGCTTAGACGACTTCTGGTTGTCTAAACGACGCTGGACGTCCTCACGTTATGTGGATCACCGGTATCCCCATAGGAAAGCATTGAATGCTTTCTTATGGGGAGATCCTAATGCGCATGCCAACCATTTAAGGGGGAGGAGCGTGGGCATCACTGAGTGACAGGAGTTTCCTTTTAAGCCAAAGTTGTTTTTGTGACACTGTCCCTTTTAAAAATAGCAACTGCTTGTTGGTGACATTTACAGTTACATTGGCTTTTCCAATGCTCTATGCTTTTTTTAAATTAATTTATTTATTTTTTTAAAAACACATTACGCTTGCAGTCAGTTTGAAACCTTTTTCTTCTGTGTTGTCTTAATTCTTTTATTTTGATATTCTGAAAAGGGACTTCAACCTAGATATGTTTCTGCCCAGACATGATTTGCCCAAGACAGTGTGCCAGTTATATTTATTACATTTTACATTTATTTACATTTTTCATTGATAGCATTGTAATCCATAAACATAATTGCTAATCATCCCTCAAAGCAGTCCATATTTAAAAGATCGTTTCCTGCTAAATGGCAGCTGCTTGTCACAGGCCTCATTTGTTTGATACGTGATATCCCTCAAGGTGCTAGGGAGAGGGGGAGCCTCTTTGAGTATTTAAAATACAGTATTCTCTACTGTCCGTTGGTGGTTGAGCTGTCTTTTCAATGGTTATAAAACAACCTCAATATACTGAAATATAATCTGGTTTCCTATGAAGTCTTTATCTGCTCAGGTCACTGCAAACTGTTAGTGATAGGGTTGGTATGATTAATGTCGGTGATATAAAACCCAGCCATATACAGAGGTTTTTAAAAGTCTAAGACTTCTTGGTAAAAAGTATTTGTTTTTTACCAGCTGTTCTTTCCAGATAAAACAAAAGTAGAATTTTCGTTTAGTCTTCTGTACTGTTATAGAAACATAGTCATCAGAGGAGTACATCTGACGAATGAAGCTCTCACTTTTAATTTGCTTATGTTGGGATTTTATCGATGTTGAAGTAGTAAATAAAATTTATTCCACACTAAACTTTTACAAACTTTTAAATAAGCCAGTTTCTGAAGTCTGACAAACTCCTTCAGTTCTTTTGAAATAAATCAAACTGGACCCATTTTCATATATAGACGGATGGGTGTAGATTTCAAGAGTTCGTATGGGTCCCATGCACTTTGATCCACACACAATCTGTGTATATATTTTTTACAATTCCACTTGCGTCTGATCTAGCACATACATGACACTCGTTCCATTCAACACCTACATTACATATAACACATAAATCACATGCTTGTGAATAGTCTGATGCTACCCTTTTCAGCATCTATATCTGTAATCCTTAGCAGCCTTACATGAAGAAAGAAGCTTGGCTGTAATTTATCTACAAACATAGCAAGATCTGGGGTATGTTCAACCTACCCTCCTTATTTGTGGAAGAGGTGTCAAGTAGTGTTGGAAAGGAATGGGGAAGCTTGTTAATCTATCTTTAGGTCAATCTAAGGTCTCACATTGCTGCTTGCTGTCCCCATATTATGCACAATGTGCTCACAGGATCTATTGTGTGGAGCCCATTTCTAGTCGCCATGGTTTCCATGTATTGTTAAGCTGTATTAATATACCTTGCTGTAGTAATCCATGCATTTCTGATTGTGGGAATCGGACTTGGTTTTTGCAGCCTGAATGAAACCATTTTCCTTTCGCATCAAACACTTCCTGCTGTTTCCTCTATACAGACTCCTGGGTCTTGCTATTAAGTGAGAAGTGAACAGAATTACTTTCCTAGAATTTTTCTTACACCACAGGATAATGGGTATATTTATCCGTGTCTGTGGACCAAGTTGTAGAGTTTGCATAGAGAGCCCTGTCTGTCCTCTCTACCTAATGTACCAACTCTTAATATATATTTAAATGTTTGAAGACCCTTTTCTCCCTTTCTGACAGCCATCATTATGCCCATTGGGTCAGGCTGTGTTCTCCTAATCTGTGCTCACTATTTTGCAGCAGTCTGCTGCTTTTTGAAATTATGTTTTAGAAAATGTTGCTGGTAGCAAAATAGTGATGCACAGTCTGACCAAAGGTGCATTAAAAAAAGGAAGAAAGATGTGAAAGATAGGCAAGTGATTTCTTCAAACTTTCAATATGAATTTTAAAAATAAATGTATTTAATGATGGTAAATATTTTCTCTGGTAGTTAGCCTTGTATATGAATGGAGGAAAAGGATGTACATTGCATTCATAGGCCAAAGTGTGTGTGTCTGTCTTAAACCTTTTCTCCTAACTTTAGATAGATGTACACACACACACACACACACACACACACACACAAAAAGCACAATAATTCCCATATCTAATAAGCACAGAAGCCATAATAAAGGAACACGAGTAACATGCTGTGTGGAAAAACTGTTGAACTCTGCGAAGCGTTTAACTCTTAAACTAAACATTCAAATTCAGTTTTCTTAACCAGTCAGTCTCTTAGCAAAAAAAAAATCATACATGAAGATGTGTGCTTGTGTTAAATCTGTTTGAGGAGGTAGGCAACTGTAATCTAGAACTCAGCTGTAAATTTATTTCTGACTGCAAGCTATGCACCATGAATAATAAGTGACTGTTCAGGTAGAGACTACTGGGCCCAGGGCTCAATTTCTACTTTCCACTAGCCATTAGTGTGTGACAAAATTGCCATGGAGAGTAGAAATTCACCTCTGGTTTGTAATGGCAGGTAACTTTTAGGTTTAGTAGAATAGGATTTCAATGTTAGACTTTGACAGGATTTACATAAAGATAAATGCAAGTTCAAGCTGTACATGTCTTAATCGATTGTGTTCATTTTTAACATATTACAAGGAAGCTCGGTCACCCAGACCACTTCATCTCAATGAAGTTGTCTGGGTGTAGTGTCCTTGTAGTTTTAACCCCACAATGTAAAACATTTTTTTTTTTTTAGTAACTGCATAATTAAACTGCACAATTAAATCCATCATTAGTGGCTGTCTTCCTGACAGCCTCTAGAGGCACTTCTGCAGCCCTGACAAAGTAAAACTTGGTCACATGACACGGAAGCTCATAGGAAAGCATTAAATACAATATGGGGAAGCTTGGATGTATGCAACACTTGGGCGGCACACATGCCCATCAGGTCCTCAGTGCTCCCCTGTGAGGAACATTGGATTGAACAGTCGCTGAAGGAGGACATGGGGGCACCTAATTATTATAGGGGAAAGTTTCACTGTTACGAATACAAGTTTGTATTCTCAAAGCTATAGTGTTCCTTTAATTTTGGGTTGGGTTAGCTGTTGCGCTTTGATTATGTATGCTCCATTCATTGACTTACATAATATTTATTTAAGGCAGCTATATTACCTTCTGGGACATTTGCATTCTCTGGCTCCCAAGGGTGATGTTGCCAGAAAGTCCAGTGCAGGGGGAATATACTTACCTGATGCTGTCTGAGACTGGCACTGCCATTTTTCTTCAGCCTGCTAGAGTACAAAACTGATGTCAGTAGAAGATCCCAGGAGACTGCAGGAGTTTCCATAGACTTTTTTTTCTCAATATTGACGGCTGGGGGTACTGACAAAACGTGACTGATGTAGCTCTTCCTTTTATCAAGTGTGGGCATAACACAAAAGAGACCCTATTTTTTTCTTATATCTTTGACGCCATCAGAATGAGTATTTCATAAAGATATTTCATCGATCTTCCAATGCAGGTAAAATATATCCAATAACGTAGGGATTTTGAGTTTCATATTTTGCCTTTCAAATTTTCCTTCCGTAAAACTTGGCATTTGGGTCCTTGGCATTGCTAGCTAATAGATGGTAACTTACATACCAGTACAAAAACTACATTTTTTAATATGCTTCCTTGTGAATAGATTGTAAGAAAACAAAGCAAATTTGTGCAAAACATCTGTGCTCTTTGAAAAAATTCTGGCTGTGTGAGGTTAGGATTCTTGAAATTTAGATACAATTGCCCAGTATAGTACTAATATTAAAAGAGAATATTTGCTAACGCCATTTACTTTGCTCCTGGTCCAGTTTAGATTACGCCTCCCCCTGTGTAAAGTAGAAAAAATAAATGCACCCCCTTTTATTCCAGCGCCGTCCTGTGCTTTCCACAGCCGCTGCTTTTCCTTCTGCTGAGAATCTGTTTGGATCATGTTTACCATTTAGACGTGTCTCCCAAAAGCATTGATGGATGGACGTGTGCAGACTTCCTGGCCAATGTAAAGACTGTAAATTTTTGTTTTTTTTTTGGTCTTCACAAGGAAAACTGGAGACATTTAGACACTGCTGTCTAACTGGAGACATTTACCAAAATGACAATGATCCAGAATCCAAAACTACTTCAAAGTGAATTTCACATTTAAAGCCAAAATAGTGGAAGTAAATGATTCTCCAAGGCAGCTATGCTTCCACTTAAAAAAATACCAACAATTCTCACTTAAATGAATAACCTTTACAGTCTGACAGACAGAAACAGCTGGATATACTGCATCAAGATCACAACAATAAGCTGCAGTGGTTTTTGTGCTTAGTGTCCCTTTTAATGCAGGGGTAGGCAACGTATGGCACTCAAGGCTGCTACAGCCAAACAGGCTCTGGCCCATCAGGAGTCCCAGTGAAACTTCAGATATCTGCTAATATGAAAAGGTGGTGAAGGATAATCCTCAATTTATGCATTGCAGCACATAGAGTAAGTGATCTCAGATCACTTCATCCCAGCACTTGTGAATGGGAATCCACACTGTAGTAGAGCAGCCCGCAGCTGCTGTTGCAGCTGCTGTCCTTGACCTGTACTTGGTCAGCCTGGTCCCCACTGGAACCCAGGGAAGCCACCCACACTGCTAGATTTACACGTAAATGCACAATAACCCTCCCCTCATACAAATAATACGAATAGCCCACACACAAACATACATACAATCCGCACAAACATAACCCGCTAACAATCCACATACATGTACACAACCCCACATGCAGTAACTCACATGCGATTCCTCAAACAGCCCCCACACTACCAAACACACAATGTGACATATCCACCCACACAAACAATTCCACAAGCAGCCCCCATACACAGCCCACATTCATATGTATCATACATGATACCACAAACTACTCCTGAACATATACAATAGAATAGCTCATATATGCACAAATACAACAATACAAAGCAATTACAGTATAAATAACACAAGCAGAATATGGCAGCATACACACCTCAATTTAAAAAAATAGGACTGACACGCTGCGGGACATCACCATCCTATATCGGCACAGTGCTGCTAAAAGGTTGCCTACCACTGCTTTAATGTATAGAATAGCATTGCAGGGTTACTGGTGGCATCTCCTCTATTAAAGTATATCAGGACACATTTGCTCTGCTTGTTAAAGCCATCTAAAAAATGAACCAGACATCCTGTAACACAATTTGCTCACACTGCACCCATGTGACACCTGGGACCATTCTGTCCTCCACATTGCATACAGGACCCACATGATGGAGAAATACAAATGAAAAAATAAACAAAGCTGGCTCTTATTTCACATACAGATAGGAAAGACTGGTTATCTGTTATCTAATCCAGTTTTGCCAGGATTCATTGCTCCTGAATATATTAAAAATAACTCTACATGGCTTATTTGCAGGCTGGTACCCCTAGCACTGTGATATTGAGCTGCTTTTCCCAACCAGTCTCCATCCCCCAGGCATGGAACATATTAGGGGCTGGTGCAGTGCGTGGCTCTTGCTGCTAAATCTCACCATCTTCCCAACAGCTGCCGACTGTGCGGTTTTGGCCTGTACTCAGACTTCCATTACCAGTAACTGTTTATCCTTTACCTCCAGCCAAACACTGTATTGAAATGCCTGTACTATTTATATTGAATGACAAAATAATCTTTTTCCCGAGCTGTAAGTATTTGCATTGTAATAAACAATGCTATAAGAAACCTGTATTCTTGTTCTTTTGATTGGCACATTTCCACAGTTCTAACATCTAAAAAAACACTTATATCACTTTTTTTTCCCCCTGAAGTATTTGAGAGTGCACCATTATTTTCTCCATTTGTATAGCACCAACATCCTAATAGGAAGATATGATAAAGAAAATAAATTAAAATAGGCACCTTGCTCAATTTAGTTTAGAAGCTAAATATTATGGTTGCTCATTATGTTTTCTTCTTCTTCATTTTCTATTTTCTGTGTTGCCGCAAGTCTGCGCATCTCTGTATTATTTTTTTCAGAAGCTTTTTGTTGTGTGACTTGGCCATTCTGATACATGCATCCTTCTGTGTTCTGCCAGCAGAAAATGAGTTCAGGTTCGACTTATTACCAATATTATTTGATTTTTATTTATTACCAATAGATATGACTGGTCTATTAAGGGCACAAACAAAGAAAGCAAGCCAGAGTTTGGATAAAGATAAGCAAGGGAGGCAAATCGAATTATTCTCTGCAGTGGCTATCAGCTGAAGTGACAATGTTCTACTTCTCTGATTTATTCCTTAGGCCTAAATCAGATAGGGGATCTGCACATCTGTCAAAAAAATAAGGGCCAAAATCTTAATGTCAACCTGGTTTCTTAATGGATGTTGTACATATTTCTGTACTGAAAATAAGCAGAAAAACATATTTTTTTGTCAGTATGTTACTGTTACAGAACACAGTATTCCTTGCTGTTCCTAGACTTTGTGCCTGGCTTCCCAAATGCACTGTTTGGCAAGATACTGATTTTTTTTTTGTCTGCTTGTTTGTTGTGGTCGGGTATTTTATTTATTTTTAATTTCCTTAATATGATGGTAGCTGTGAAGTCATCCTATCTATCCCACAAATACTGCTTTAGTATATGAATCTATTAAACCACATTGTTTTGTGTATACATGTTTTTATTTTATTGTTGTACTTTTACAGTTGCAATTTCTGTGATTTATAGTCAACCTGTCCCTGCAGCGCTCTACAATAGGTAGACAGAACAGACCTTTAATTTTAACACACGTATGATTTATGGGAATAGTTAGAGGGCACTGCCTTGACAGGCTTATAATATAAAGTGAGGTAATTAAGTGGTCTGTATGTACCAGATGATGGGAGCATAGTAGATGGCATAGGAAGGTTGTAGGGGATAAGAAGTTAAAGGGAGAGCTGGTAGGCTTCCCTAAAGACGTGAAAACACAAAAAGGAAAATAACTGTAGTAGTTTCAGAAATTTTCAGACCGCACCAATGAAAACCCTTACAGTTATTAAAGGAACACTATAGTCACCTAAATTACTTCAGCTAAATAAAGCAGTTTTAGTGCATAGATCATTCCCCTGCACTTTCATTGCTCAATTCACTGTCATTTAGGAGTTAAATCACTTTGTTTCTGTTTATGCAGCCCTAGCCACACCTCCCCTGGCTATGATTGACAGAGCCTGCATGTAAAAAACAAACTGGTTTCACTTTCAAACAGATGTAATTTACCTTAAATAATTGTATCTCAATCTCTAAATTAAACTTTAATCACATACAGGAGGCTCTTGCAGGGTCTAGCAAGCTATTAACATAGCAGGGGATAAGAATCTTAATTAAACAGAACTTGCAATAAAGAAAGCCTAAATAGGGCTCTCTTTACAGGAAGTGTTTATGGAAGGCTGTGCAAGTCACATGCAGGGAGGTGTGACTAGGGTTCATAAACCAAGGGATTTAACTCCTAAATGGCAGATGATTGAGCCGTGAGGCTGCAGGGGCATGTGCTATACACCAAAACCTCTACATTAAACTAAAGTTGTTCAGGTGACTATAGTGTCCCTTTAAATGTGTGTAAATGGGTCATCTTCCCAACCATACGGTTATATTCCTAGATTACCTACCTCTTGTTGCTGCTGTGCTATCCTAAGATCTAACTCTTCTGATTTTGCATCCTGACATGTTAAAGAATAGATAATTAGTTAAATTGTGGTTACTATACATCACCTTACTGACAAACTCAGGGAAAACTGTTCTAGAAACTCATATCCAGTGTCTTCCTACATTATGGCTTCCACAGTGCTAGGATTTTGCCCCGGATGGATTTTAATTAATATCTGAGTTATTGTTCTTGTGTTTTTGCAATTCTTGAATTTATGATTCTCATGATTTCTAATTTCAGTATTCTTGTGTTTTCTTATTATCCGTTCTGTTCACCAGTCATCATATGTGAGTCTTAAGCCTCCAGGTGAAGGCGATTAGGGTTAAAATGTGCTTTATGTAAACCATCTCTCTGCAATCCTTCACCAACACCTGTATATTTTAAAATATATATATTTTTTTTGACTAACCTTGTTAGATGTGTGAGAAATAGATTAGGACCATGCATTTAATATTTTTGGCTAGACATAGATATGCTATGTTTGTGTTTTGTTTTTTTTTATTTTGAGGGTTAGCAGTTGTAAGTTCTTTTCATCCATGTAAACGAGCACTTTGGTTTGAATTTGTGTTCTTTATTTTGGACTAATTAAACAATGTCATTGATTTGAAGTTTGGTGTGTGCAGATGCCAGCGCGACTTACTACTTATTATACATTATGGGTCTTAACCACTTAAGGACGGCTGACATTCTTTGCTGTCATGTAAGTGCCAGGGAATTGCAGATACTATAACAACTTCTATTAGATGAAGCATTCAGATTACCTCCAGTATCCCTGTAAAGAATGTATTGACCAGATAAACCTTTGTTAGTTATTAAAGGAACACTATAGGGTCAGGAATACACCTTGTATTCCTGACCCTATAGTGTTAAAAACACATGTAAGGTCCCTGACCTCCACATGCCTACTTAATTAAGTGTAAAAAAAAAAAGAGAGAAAAATCACCTCTTTCCAACACGTCCTGGCCCAACCCCGATCTGCCTCTTTGACTGACATCAGAATTGGTGATCTCATCTAATCACAATGCTTTCTCATTGGATTGCATGAGATTGTCATTTTTGTCAGGGGTTTTTTTTTTTTTTTTTACATTTTAAAATTGAAACACGGTACATTAAAGGACCACTCTAGTCACCCGGACCACTTCAGCTTAATGAAGTGGTCTGGGTGCCAGGTCCAGCTAGGGTTATCCCATTGTTTTATAAACATAGCATTTTTAGAGAAACTGCTATGTTTATAAATAGGTTAATCCAGCCTCTAGTGGC